TAACTTCTTTTTTCCCCTACTCTGAAATTTTTTCATAACTCTTGAAAAATGTTGAAGAGGCAGAATTACATTTGCATTTACTGTAGAAACATATGATCAATACAGGTATTTAGTTAGCAATAAGTTATATTTACTGTTTTGTAGAGTTTCTACAATGTAAAGGTGGATCACATTTATAAACTCATTCTAGGTTGATTAGTCCTATTTATTTCAAAGGGATCTTCCAGCACTACCACTTCTTTGAGAAGTGTAGTGGAGTATCCTAGTGCAAGTCACTTGTCTTTCATACATTCCCAGATCCTGGAGTCATGTGATTATGAGGGGATTTTTAAAAATACCACAGCAATATACTAGCTAGCACTCATGGGTACAGAGAACATCCAAAAAGCGTGGCTCCTTGAAGTTCAGAAACCAAAGATAACCCCTACTCTATACCCTCCTAGCTATGCAGGTTGGTACAGTGCAATGAACTGCAGGACAAGGGTCTTGTCACTGGCACTCTAGGTGCTAAATGGCCCTTTGGGCCATACAGCACCTCTGTCTGTGCTTGGTTCCCTTCATCCTTGTACACTGGGACATCAATACAGGGCTATGTCTCATCCTTGTGTAGGAGCACTGGAGAAGAGGGAAAGTTTCCTTGAACTATTATTTGACTCCATTCATAGCTAGGTAAAATGGGCCAGAACATCAGCAGGTACAAATTGATTTAACCAGAGATATGTCACTTTACCCCAACTGAGGCTATGACTCAGTGCCGCATTGAACATTTCTCACAGCCCTAAGGTCTTCTCCTAGCAAATATTATTTACTAAGGCAATTAGAAAAGGATCAGAAATCCATGCATGACTCTGTAATATTTCTAAGTACCATAAATCGGATTAGAAGACATTGTGACAGCAAGAATGAGCACCCGCAGCCACCTCTGTCAAAGCAGCCAGATTACTGAAGGGTGACAGGTATTTAGAAGCTGTCTTCAACTCCGTGCTTGGAGGTTAGATTGAGAAAGCTGTGTGCTAGGGAGCCACTTAGTGGAAAACAATGGAACTGCTTAAAAAACACCTTTGTTTCCTTGATGCCAGGAAAAATCAGCAGCATTTGACATTAAACTGGTATCAATGTTAAATAATGAATGGTCCACTTTGAATAATCAGTTCTTGTTGTTACTGTATCATTAAGGTACAAGGCACATTTCAGCTGCATGAGAAGATGCATCCGTTGGCTTGAAGGGAGAGTAGTCAGCCAGTTTTCTTTTGGGTGTCTGCTTGGGACGTGAGGGTATTCCCTTGTGAATGTGCATCTGGGAGCTCATTGGAGAGAGAGAAAATTCTGCAGAAACTTCTGCCTTCCTTTCTGCCTTGATGAAGAGGAGGAGTTATGGAAGGGGTCAGATGTGTTTGTAGAAACAGATGGCTACAATGTGCAATTGTTTAGAGAGGAAATAATGCATCAGCTGAGGACAAAACAAGAAGTGAGAATTACTTCAAGGAGTGTCTCCTCTGCTAAGCATTTTGTTTGGCCCAAAATGAAAGTTCTGTTTAGTTTTTAGATTATTTCACCCCTTAACAAAAATTAAGGCCTAAATTGGAAAAGTTTTATTTTGAGAATGGCAAAATGATATGTTTTGGTACTACCAAAATGAAATATTTTATTTAAAAAATAACAAAATAAAAGGCTTTGATACTTCCCCCCTCAGCTGATACTAATACTTAACCAGTTTGTTAAAAAAATAAATAAATAAAAAATCCGTCATTTCTATCTGTACCTAAACTTAATCGCTGACTGGGCCTGGAACATCCCCCCAGTATATCTGAGTACATTCAGACCTCCTGGTCATACTGTACTGCTGAGTAAAATGCTGTTAGTGGCAGGTTTGTTGGTTGTAGCCTTGTTGGTCAAAGGGCATAGGCAGGCAAGGTCCTTTGGGTAGATGTGATATCTTTTATTAAACCAGTCATTCCCAACTTTTTTTTTCTCAGACCCACTGCTGGGAGCGGAGTGTGGTGGCAGCGGCAGTGGCAGCAGCAGCCTTGGGTTGGGGATGGGCAAGCTCCTGGTATGCAGTGCAACTCATCTTTTGTGTGTAGCACTGCTGGCATTGCTCCCGTGACCCTCATTTGGGTCACAAGCCAGGGTTAGGAACCGCTGCATTAGACCCACTAAATAGTTGGAAAAAAGTTTTGTAAACTTTCGGAAACAAACATCCTTCTTCAGGCATTGGGGGCATGTCAACATGTGCATTATAGTGCTTTTTCTAATGAGCATTTAATTTAGTACCTCCAATGTGAGATACTAAAGAAATGCACATTAGGCTGCCTTAATGCACAGTTATGAATGCACATGGTTTTTAAGTGATGCTTAATGCGCAGTAGCTTATTTTACCGTGCGGTAACATAATCACATTTTTTTACGTGACACTTTAATGTGCAGTAAAATAGGTTATTGTACATTAAAATGCATGTGTAGACATGCCCTGGGAGACTCTGCTGCTGTTATGTATTCTCTAAGGTAGAGAAGAAGCTAAAGTATAACAAGAAGTCTGTGAAAATGCAAATGAGTGGAAGTTTGGAAGACAATGGGTAGAGATGGGGGTGAGGGGGAGGGAGGGAAATGTGTGAAGGAATGCAAGTGGTCAGCTTGAGGCAGGTTACCTGATGTGTCAGATGTTAGGCAGGTTGTAATGTGTCAAGTCCGTGATCTTTTGTATCCAGTAGATTTATGCAGTGATTTGGTAGGCTTGTCTATGAAAGGTGTTTTGTAAGTTCCCTTTGAGGATTAGAATTGAGATCAGAGAGGGCGTGATTGTCTTGTGAGAAGTGGGTACCCATAGGTAATTGGATATTTTGGTCTTTGACAAATTATTGGCGGGTGTTCATTCTGGTACACAGTTGGTTCATCCTACATATTTTCCATCAGGGCATTTGGTGCATTGGATGAGAGATATTACATTTCTGGAGGTGCAGGTGTAAGATCCAGGGATGGTGATGGTTCTGTTGTGGGGTATAGTTATTGTGGAACTGGTGGAAATGTGTTGGCAGGTTTATATTTCTTGTCCCGGCATGGTCTGGATCATATCCCATCAGTACCCACTGAGCCTCCCATCTACAGTACAGCCAACTGGTTTCACCATGTGCCTATAAGTGAAGCAGCATTAATTTTGACCAGTTTCCAGCTGAGAATGGATGAGTTAATTTCAGTGGAACAAAGCAGGTGAACAGTGACAACTGGAGTTAGTGGCATTTATTAATGGAAAGCAATATGATTAAACCTGTTCCTGAGTGCTGGAAACCACCAAATAAATGAACAGGGAGTTGCTCAATGATGAATGAGATCAGGTTGAATCCCTACCAGGCAATAGCATTCACCAAGACATTACCAATGCCATTTTGCTGTCATTTGCTGATGTTGCTGTAGATAGATGGAAGGTGGTATTAACTTTGCAGACATAAACTTTGTTTGTAATGTAGGACTAGAAGGAACCTTTTGGGTAGTAGAGTCCACGCACAGGGAAGATGGATAAGAAAATCTACTCTGGCACCTCCCACATACCATCATAGTGAGCTAACACCCCATGACAAACCTAGGATCTTCATTGCAAAACACCTCAAAAAGCCCTTCCCTGCTCCAAAGGAACAGAACAGGAGAGATGAGAGCAACACCAAAGTCTCAATTATGTTCCAACCCCATGGGCTTTGTTCATTGCCTCAGGTTTTTCAGCTAAAGTTCGAAAGGAGTGAGTATTGCACAGGTCCCAAGTGGAGAGGAGCTGGTTGAAGGCACTGTTATCACTTACACGTGTCCTTTTGCTGAATGCCAAGTGTCCCATGGGCTCTAAAGGCCTTCCTGGAAAGCCATGGGAGACCTGAGGGATTCTTGGAGTGTGAGCATCAAGAGCAGGGTAATGTGGTGGCATCCCTTCAGCTCTATTGTGCAATTTCATCCTAGCCTATGTGTTTTCTGGGTTGATCGGTAGGGGCCTGCCAAGAAAAATGAAATCAGCTCATCACACTCGGAGACTGATGTCAAGGGAGCAGAGCAAAGACTAACTCCCAAGCATCCCCACACCTGGCTAGACATTCATTTCATTTTTGGAAGAAATTTGGGTACCATCCAGCTAGAGACTGAAGAAGCAGAAATTAGGAATATGCAAAAACTGTGCAAGTGCCCTACACTCTGTTCCATGAGAGTCTCTCACCCTCCCAGCAGAAAGGTGGCAGGAAGATCTAGTCTCCATTGGCCCCAATAGAAAAGAGGAAAGATGCTCTTGCAGTTAAGGAATGGTTTTGAGTGCAAAACAGTTGCCTAGATCTGCCACAAATACAAGTCATTTACTCTGTATACCTCAGTCTCCCATTTGTACAAATAAGATTAGTCTCCCATTCTCTGTCTGTTCAAGGCCTCCTGAGCCTCTCACTATGTAGCCATTTAAAGCCCTGATCTCAGCTGGTGTCTCTAAGTGATACTGTAGTAGAATACTTGGAAGTTCTGCTAGAGAAAAAAGAGGGGAGAGTGTTTGTGGTGTGGACACCTATCTGCTAAAACCACTCCAAGGAAGACTTACTATTGTCAAGGACCATGGAAGATATGTTGCGTGTTACAGTAGGACCTCCAAATCCCAATCTTCACCTTGCTCTGATCAGCATTGAACACTAGTAAAAGATACTGCCTTCCTCAAATAGCTCACAATCTAGAGGGGCAGAGGTGTTGGTAAGAGAAGCAGAGGCACAGAGAGGGAAAATTACATGCCCAATATTGCACAAGTCAGTGGCAGAGGCAGAAAAAGAACCCAGGTGTCCCGAGTACCTATTGTTCTGCCCCCAGGAACATGCTGCTAACAATTTTCAAATAAACTGATTTGCATGTAATCTGAAATGATTGTCTTTGACTCTAAGTAGACTGTCTATCTTATTCCCCAAGCTATTCAAACCCCCTCTTTGTCCAGAACTCTGCAGAATAGACCATCATGCAACACAATAATAAGCCCCAGTCTCAGGTTAGTGCTGATGTCTTATATATTATTTTATTTTGTTCCTTTTTATTTTTGAAAGTGAAAAAATAATTTAAACTGATGATATATGTACAGGGGAAATGGCTTGTTAGTGTTCTGAAGAGATCCTACAGCTGGCAAGGGAAAGGTTAGATGCATCACTTGACCTATGTACAAAAATTCCCACCTAAAAAGAGCTGAAGAATCAGAAAGCCCCTCTCTGTAATATGAGCTGTCATAGTATGGGGAAAGGGAAAGAAGGCTGTGCAGGAGCAGACAGGGTCCATTATATCCTAAGCTGGTCTGTACTATCTCTTTCCCAGCAACAAGGATCAGGTGATCTGGAGTGGGGTCTCCAGCATCTCCATGAGAAAGGTGTCAATAGGCGTGTCCCCGATCAACTTGAAGAAGAAGAGATGCTCGAGGCATTTCAGCCCAATAGATCTCAGTGCTGGCAGTCGGAGGAGGAGTTTGGCAAACCTGGAAAAATGTTCCATAGAACCACAGAAGTCAGAGAGTCAGAAGTCATTATTATTTGATTTTCAGCAGTGCCTAACCTGGCTATGGGCCCCAGTGTGCTAGGTACCCAGTGCCCCAGGCGTAATCATATTGAAAAACAGCTTACCTTGAAGATCTTACAGTTTAAATGGAAATGAGGAACCAGAGAGATGAAGCGACTCAGCCCAGGTCACCAGAAAGTTAGTGTTGGAACCAGGAATATAGCCCAGATGATGCTTTTGTTGCAAGCAAGTGCTCACACCAGGCAGTCTCTGCTGAACTGCACTGCCTCTTCCCACACATGCACACTGCCATTCCCTGATGCTGCAGGTCTGTCCCCCAGCCCCTTTATATGCTCCAGTCGGTGTTTTGCTCCGATTAGTTTTAATTTGAAAGGGGAACACAAGGCTTCCCTCAGGAGACTGTCCCCCAGCCAAACACCCCACTGTTGCAGTGCTGATGCTCAAGCTGCATATTCCTTTTCCATAATATGATCTCATGCCAGAGACATTTGCTTATATTTCAAGGGATCAGAAATTCATGGTCCCAAAACACTTGTGTGTGTCTTGTATAAAAGCTCTCTCTAACTGGGACCTTCCAGGAAAATTCAAGGGGCTGAGCAGGTTCCCTCATGATGCCTGGAAGGTGGATCCACTTTTTTCACAGATTTAACAAACACACATGCACACAGTTTGTGGTGTGGACACCTATCTGCTAAGACCACCCCAAGGAAGACCTACTATTGTCAAGGACCACAGAAGATATATTGCGTGTTACAGTAGGAACTCCAAATCCCAATCTGCACCTTGCAAATTCACACACACATACACCCCCTGGGAACAAAGTGCATGTGTTGGAGAAATATTTTATCTGTCCTTTTCAGGCTATCCAGGAACAACTGTTTGACTTCCATCCTTGACCAGGGCTTGAACTAGTAACCTAGGAGCTAAAACATGCCATTGAAATCTTCCTTGAAATCTGCTTAAAAATTGATGGCCCCTAGAGAAGCTTTGTAACCCATTAGCAATATTTTTACTATCCATTTTCCTCTGTTTTATGGACCATATGTGGCCACATTTGCTACCAACTAACCTCTACTCTCCCCCCACACCCCCCAAATGCACATTTCTTGTTTGCAGCATTGACTTTGTGGCCAAAAATAGCAACAGCACTGCCAGGTGCCAGCACCTTGTTTCTTAAGGAGTCTTAAAACAGCACGTGGATACTCTCATACTCTGCCATTTCTCTCAATCAGCCAGCAGAGTGCAGTGTTGGACAGCACAGGAAAAAGCTTGGGCAGCACTCGACTTCATTGCAACAGGCTTCAGTTGCTGCTTGCATGAGAGCAAGAAACTACTGGAAAGAGAGGACTTTGCAACCCAGTTCGAATAGACGTGATATTCAGTGCGCTCCACCGGGCCTGGGATTGTGGTTTCCCTAGTCTTGTGTAGCCATTTACACGTATCTGATCTGAGGCTTGATCCAAGCTCAGTCAAGTCAATCAAAGTTTACCTTCACAGCAATGGATTTTGCATCAGATCCACACATGATAACATTTTATGCCCCCTTTGCCCAGGTCTGAATGATGAAACCAGATACAGGGAGTGGTGAATCAAATCTCATAAATAGAGAATACGCCCATTTTGCTGAATGCTGTCCATCTCTGTTGGTATGCTGCTATTTTTTTAAGCTAACGGAAACATGAAACCACTCGTATTTTAATTACAAGTGCCACTTAAACCCCTTATCATAAATCTTTCACAGAGGCACAAGAGGATGTGGGTAACACAATGGGAGTCAGACTCATAAGTGTCATGTTTCATTTATAGAGGTCCGAGCCAGACTTTTGGCTTGTTTAAATTGAGCCAGGACATGGATCTCTGTTTCCCCACAGATAGCCAATAGCATCACAGCCTCTCAGGGTAGGTAAAGAGGTAAAGCCTCCTGCATTGATTCACTGTTGAGGTCTTTGCCTATAAGAAGCAGCATGTGGACCTAAGGCCGGTGGAAAATCTCCCGCTGAAACTGCTAACCCCCCCACAAAAAAACCCACAAAAAACAAAAAACAGAAAATTAGGATGTGGACAAACTGAAGGGTTGGTTTGTTGGCTTGCTTTGTGGGAACTCCCTCATCCTCTCTGAAAATTTATGTTATTAACTGAAGAGCCTATAAAGGAAAAACAAAATTCATCAAAATGGATTTCCCCTCCAATCTTCAGCAGGTTTGGTCTTGAATTTGTTATTGTTGTTAAGACGAGCCCAAGCCCTTCCCACTGAAAATTTTGATGGAAAAAGTTTTCCATCAACACTTTTCATCATAAAAAATAAACTTCCAACCAACTCTGTATAGAACCCCCTTCATGATGTAGCAGGAGCAAGGATGCACTTAGTACCTGTAATCACTGACAATTTGACCAATCTGTACCTATCAGGAGGTTCCCACCTGCATCTCCTATAGACAGAGAAATGGCACAGAGCTAATTTGTATTCACCTGCCAGGTTGTTCAGGGTACTTCTGCTTTGTATATGCTTCCAGTGTGGCATAGACCTTTTCTCTTAGTGATTCCACTTCAGAGGGACTGGACAAGCCCTTGGCATCTGGAGAAGGGAGAAGCAAGAAGGAAATCACTGCATAGCTGAAGTTTAATATTTCATTTGGTTACGAGCTGAGCAAAAAGAACCATATTCTCAAAAAGTGTGGGAGTTCTCTCCCATTGCCAACTTTCTTAACAGTGACTCTGTTCCACCTAGCATTTCCAAAGAAGACACAGGCCCTGGTTGTGTATACACATAAGCAATGTGATCCTTTTTTTTGTTGGGATCCTTGTGGATTATAAACCTGCCCTTAATTTATGATCACATAGGATTTCTGCCTCATTCAGTGCCCAGAATAAGCACACCAGGGTACAGAATCACAACTGTACCTGGCTTTTCCTCACTTGGGAGCATCTGACTTTACAACCTATGTACTTGTCCTTTAATGTACTGTTTAACATAGTATGAGTGCATGCTGCATATTTCCCACAGGATCTATCTTATAAAAAATGTTTGCTTGTCTGGAGATTGCATCTACGACTCCCTCCTAAAAAGCAATATCTGCTGTAAGATTGGATCGCTCTGAACTTTAAAGACTGATGGGGTTGCACCCACAGCTACTATGGCACTATTCTAGCAGGGAAGAATCCATGGGCAGAATAGAGGAGCTGGTGCTATGCCACTTCAAATCACAGGCTTCAGAGTTGGCCAGGAGTAATACAGGCTAGTGGCTAAAGCATCCAGAGACCTAGGTTCCATACTCAGTTCTGCCACTGGCCTGCTGCATGACCTGCTCTGAGTCTGTTTTCCCTCCAGAGCCTTTCGTCCCCCTGGATTGTAAAGTCAGTGGCTCAGTTCTGTCCCTTTCCATACACTGTACAGTCACATGGAGAGGGACAGAACTGAGCTACAATCCAGGGGGATGAAAGGCTCTGGAGGGAAAACAGACTCAGCATTACGTAAGGTCAATATACTTCCATATAAATAAGACAAAGAAAGGATGAAGTGCCACCTACTGAACCCACAGTGTGATGGAATGGAAACCAACCTACTCTTCTGCAGCTGGGGATGATGCTTGCAGCATCCAGGAAAGGCCCTCTTCCAGAGCAAGGCTTGGGAGGCACAGAGGTAGACATCCGCTTTGAAGAACATAACCAAGTTTCACACCAGTGCCATTTCATGCTCCCAGGGAGCAGTTAGTCCGAGACACTTGGCTAGGATTGTCTAGTCAGGGATGATTCTGTCTTGAACAAGGGGCTGGACTAGATGAGCTTGCAAGTTCCCTTCCAGTCTTACTTCCCTATGATTTTAGTTCATTTTCTGCAGAAATTTCAGTGAGGTGAGAGCGTGTACTGTGCAAACAACTTGAATTCTCCATTCAGCTCAGTCATTTCAAAAGAAGAAAACAAACAAACAAAACCCCCAGCAACCAACATTTAGTTTAGAATTAAACATTTAGTTTGGTTTCTTTTTACATTAAAAAAAAAAAGTAAAGTATCTTAGGGACATAGAACTGGAAGGGACCTCCAGAATCTAGACCTTTGTGATCACAAGTACGAAAAACAAAGTTTTGAAATGAAAAAAATAAATGAAAAAGTTTCACTTAAAAATACCCAAACAAGATATCCAAACTGGCAGCACTACACAGGGAATTGGCAATAAGCTATTAGGTGGGCTCCTTACAGTATCACTGAAAAAAATGTAGTTCTTGGATTGGCTGCTTTTGTGAAGTGCTTAAAATTGTTGGTCAGATACAGTGGTCAAAAATGGCGTAGGACCCAGAGATAAGGAATTCTTAAATGCTTGACCCATTCCCTATGGCAATCCAAGGGAATAATGCTCAGAAACAATGAGCCTTTGCAACAAACTTCACAGCAATTTATCACACATTTATGGTATCATGCCCCACACTCCCAATCCCTCCCTATCATGAGTTGCCACATGTGGCAAGAGTTGCCATGCCATGACAATATGCTTCCCTGATCTGTCATAGCACTGGAGAAGTGAAAAGGGCAGATATATTAGCTCTATGTTCTCCCCCTCTAGCTTATTTGGGTTGAAGGGCCTGAGGCTTTTTGCTGGCTTCTAGCCCAAAGAGACAACAAGAACTCCCACCATCCCACTTCTGTTCAGCACAAGTCTGGAGCAAGGCTTGAATTCACTCCTTTGGAACAGGAGCAAAATACTGTAACCTGTCTACTACACCCCTCCACTCCCTTGATACATTCACAGACACATCATCAAATGGGTAAGGAGATGCACAACTATCCAAAAGGAATCTCCCGGGATATCATTGAAAGCCAATAAGAGAATCCTCTGATTGTGGCTCCCAGCAGGTCCTTTGGGTGTCTGGTAACACCAAAGCTCACCTGGATTAAACAGGACGATGGCTCGCAGGCACCCCAGCTCAGACTTATCCATCTGCATGTCTTTCATCTTAGATACTAGCTCTGTCAGAACTCTGCATGGAGGAGACACAACAGACAGTCTGTCAGAATGTATGAATGGCAAGGTCTGCATCTAGTGTTAAATGCACCAATACTGAGCTTCAGGAAGGCAAACTGCTGAGCAACACTGGCAGCACACTCACATGTCTCCTAGGTGATTGATTCTGTGCTGATTTGAATAACTGCACTAGGCAGGTGCACTCAGTGGTGTTCCAGCTGGGAGGTGGGCACTAGCAGTTCATAAGAGCCTATCAAATTCACGTATCTGTTGTAGGAAGGAAGTTGCCATCAGCTGCAATGTTCTTTATTAAGGAGGGAGCCCATGGAGGGGACAAGTCTCAGCATGCAGTGCTCCATCTCGACCACAATGGTGGCCAGATATGGGAAGGGACTGGGATGAGGTATTTTGGGAGCTTCCCTTTCCTTGTCTTCCAAATATAATCTTCCCTTCTAAAAGTCTGGCCATTTATTTGGGTACCTAAAGATGACTTAGATGCCTAACCTGAGGCATCTAAGTTGTGGAAGCCTTGGCTTTCTCCTAACACACAGAGCTACTACCATCACATGGTGAAGATGGCAGAGCCCATTTGGGCTATAAATTATACTTTATTATATGAGTTGAAGTCAAGTTTCAACATAAAGGATTTCTGGTTTGTAACGTGTCCCTGTTACAATTCAGCATAGAAATTCAAGTCTCTCTGTGGCGCATGCATCTCATCAGCAAAATCCTGCCACAGGTTCAAATCTTGCAGGGTCTTCCTCATGTTTGGTATGTGCAAGCAGGAGTGGAAAGATGGGGTGTTCTTGCTCGGATGTACTGGAAACATGGTATAGACATACTTTTAGTCCCCTCTCGTAATATGGGCTACCCATTCTTGGGAGCAACCCAACAGCTCTCTTCTGCACCACTTCCTGCTGCCATCTAGTGGGCTGCCAGCTGGCTAGGTGGAGACAGAGCTCTGTGAATGGCATGTAGGGTGAAGATAAAGCAAGCTTTTGGTTTAGTTGCATGCCAGTTGCCTCAAAGAGTGGCCTTGTACTGGTTGGGGGTGAAGTGATGGGCTAGATACCTGTCAAAAATAGAACCCACGCCAGCGCTGTGTGCACTGCTGCGGTGTACATGCAAGCCAGTGGCGAGTAGGATGCCATCCTGCACAGACACAGAGCGATGAGAGAAAGATGCAATCAGCAGCTCATTCCAGCCTGCAAGAACAAGGAGCAGAAGACATGAGAGCACATTATACCAGTCTCTCCCCCTGAAACATACGCTCCTGTCCCTTTACAGGAGGGTGCCAAGGAGGCAGTGGGAGTGGTGGATAAGATGGCTTCTCTGTCCTCCCTTGTCACTGAGCTTAGGAAAGGGATAGAGCAGCAGCATCTCCAGGCCAGTGGGCAGGAGAGGGTAACCTGAGCTTACTCCAGGCAATGAGGGTGCACACGTGTAAGATCAAATTTACACCCTGAAACCACTTCACACAAATGGAAGGTGAATGGATTCTCCCCAGAGGTACAGAACTTGAAACACAGATGTAAACAACCCTATTGGTTTCAACACATTCATGGGTCCAGATCCTGTACGACTGATCAAGTGCCCAAGTGGGATCCTATTCTATTCTGCCCGAATACTTGAAACACCGTTAATATGCCTACTTTTGTCACACATCATCTTCCTGGCTCAAAGACTAAGTCATAAAAAGCAGTAAGCAGGAGGACCTACCTGCCTTGTGTTAAGAGTTTTACAGGGACTGGAGGACGGTAGAATAGGATCACACCTGGAAACCTAAGCCCCAAAAAGGTTGCTTTTTTTTTTTTTTTTTTTTTTTTTTTTTATAAAGATTGTGCCCCTAGTATTTTAGTGTACCCTTTGCCTGGAAGCATTTTTTTTCTAACAGCAGAAGGACCAAAGAAACCATTAACAACAGGCTAATGGAAGAAAACCTTCTGAGATAGCCAAATGACTTTGTTCCGGGTAGGTCTTCCCTGACCAATCTCATTTCATTCTATGACCAGGTGATGCATCACCTGGACAAAGGAGAAGGGGTTGATATCATACATTTAGACTTCAAAAAAGCCTTTGGCCTGGTCTCCCATGATATCCTCATGGTAAAACTGGGGAACTGTGGCTTCAACAACCTTACGGTCTGATGGCTGTGGAACTGGCTCCATGGTCAGACCCAGAGAGTGATGGTCGATGGAACCATATCAACATGGAGCATGGTGACAAGTGGCACCTCACAGGGCTCTGTACTTGGACCAGTACACTTTATAAATACATTAAACTATCTGGATTCTGGTGTCAGAAGTATACTGGCTAAGTTCACTGACAACACTGAATTACAGGGAAGTGTAGCCACACTAGAGAATAGGCTGCCAATTCAGGCTGCCCTGGACAGGCTCGCAAAGTGGGCAGATCAAAACCTGATGGCATGGGACTTCTCAGCCTGGAGAAGTGAAGGCTCAGGGGGGACTTGGTGGCAGCCTATAAGTATATAAAGGATGTACATCAGGATCTGGGAGAATGTCTGTTCACCAGGGCACCCCAAGGGAAGACAAGGTTCAACAGTCACAAATTCCTGGAAGACTGTTTTAGGCTGAACATAAGAAAAAATTCTTTACTGTCGCAGTCCCCAGAGTCCGAAGTAGACTCCCCCCTACTCTGGACTCCTTTAAAAAACAACTAAAAAAACCTCTTGGATGCCTATCTTGCCGGGATCATATGACCCCAGATGACTTCCTGCCCCTTGGGCAGAGGGCTGGATCTTGCGAGGCCCCGTCCAACCTTGATGTCTATGAAATCTATAAGTCTATGACTCATATCTCATGATCCCCTCAGGTCTCACCCTACAGACAAGTAAAATGTGTTTTAAATTAAAGGTTAATAGAACGTAGAAAGCCCGAGTCATGCTCAAGTAGCAGGGCTGTGCAAAGCTTCATAGATTCATAGATTCTAGGGTCGGAAGGGACCTCAATAGATCATCGAGTCCGACCCCCTGCATAGGCAGGAAAGAG